CTATCTATCTATCTATCTATCATCTATCCTATTGGTTCTATTTCTTTGGAGAATCCCAACTAATACTGCCTTCTACTGACTGTAGATGTTAAGAACTGGCTAACCATCTATTTGCCCTCGGATAGCATACTTTATTAAACATCTCCACAGCTCTCTATGATCAAGACCCTTTGGCTGCCTCTCCATCCTCATGGTAATGGAGGTCTCCTGGTGTGGCCAAGGGCAGCCAATGAGTCTGTTATTTCAGTCATGCAGCATACTCATGGCTGCAGCTCTTGCCAACAGCTTTGTCCTATAGAGGAGGCCATCACTGACCTTCTTAGTGATGGCTCTCTCATCAGCACATTCTTGATGACCTTGGTGAATGTTAGGTCCTTTGATGGGTTTTCTGGTCTCACATAATATGCCCATACCAGCATTTCCACTTCCTTTTTGTTCCTTTTTCTACCTTCTGACAGGAAAACTCAGCATGGACCTTTGTTTTCTCCTGGATTTCAAGGTCACCCTAGCCACAAATTTACCTCTTATCCACAGGTCTTTTCCAGGATGTTAAATCTCATGCCCCAGGAAAGTCTTTCCCAGTGAATGAATTCTTACTTACCCAGTTTTATCTTCCCATTTCCTTGATCATTCACCTTCAGAATGTGAATCCAGTGTTACTGCCCCAGCTGCCACGAGTATATGTTAGCTAATTCTTGTAGCTCCTTTGGGATATAATTTCTTTCCTTCTTTATCAGACCCAGCATATTTCTAGTCAAGTTATGCTGTGATTTGTCTAGCATATTTGACCTGGCAGTCAGGAGAAGAGGTGGGTGTGGCTCCCGAGTGGGCACCATTTACCTGCTGGGTAGAGGCCTCTGTTACATCTTCCTCTGCAGAGAAAGTGATAGCTCTTACTTTGGAGGGGTGGGCCACCTCTACAAGCTCTGAGGGATCATAAGTGTCTACTGAGTCAAAATCCTTGAGGTAGTCACCCAAATACTTCTGTTCTAAGTTTCAGAACTTCAGGTTTTTGCAACAGATCTACCTCGACCAAACATTTACATATCCTGAGCTCTACAACACTGTCAAGTGCTGAGTTTTTTCCTCAGTTATCGATATATTTTCATTTATTTATTATGTCTCCTTCTCTAACTAGAATGCTAAAATGTAATCTCCATCAAGGCAGACTTTGCTTTGTTGATTGCTCTGTTCTAAGCACCCATAACAATACTTACTATAGACACTCAATAAATATTTATTGAATGACCAAATGAATGAATGTGTAGATCTACAAGGGAATGGTAAACTGTAGTATATCTATCTTAAGGAATTTTAATGCAGCCATTTGAAACATTTGCAAAGAATTTTCAATAATATGAGGGAAAGTTTATGCAACCATGTTAAATGAAAAACAAACAAGCAAACAAAAACAGGAGAAATACAACCATAACTCCTTCAGCCATGAAAATAAACTCACATGGGGGAGAAAAAGCTAGAAAGAAATAACCAGAAATATTTTCAATAGTGGCTGGGATATATTTTGGCTCCTTAATTCTTCTGGTTGTGTATGAAAAGGCTTGAAAGGGTTGGGATAAACCATCTGATTCAGGTTTCCTGTTACCCTGAGCAGTTGCATACAAGAGAGTTGGACAGGCTTCCTTTTACCAAGGAGAGAGTGCCAAAGAGAAGAAGTAAAGGATACCCCATATTTATCCTACGTTTACAGAGACTGTTCAGAGGGGGAAAAGATGGGTTTGAGGCAAGGGAGAATCTGAGAATGACAAAATAAAATTTGCCTCCATTCACATCTGTTCACCAAGGGCTTCCAGAAGTTGAAGTTTTCAACTATGTCTGATCTAAACTTCAAACTCTAACTCCTCTAAGCTATCTGTCAAGGTCTCAGGAGATAACTCAAGATTGAAAGAATCCCTTGGACCAATTTTCTGGCATCCCCCATATGGACCATGACTTGTTCTGAAATATGCTAGAAAAATATAGTAAGAAAAGAAACCCATCAATCCATTAAACTTTTGTTTAGAGAATATACAAAGAAAAAAAAAGACACTGCCCTATCTTCAGAAAGCTTACAATTTATTTGAGTAGGTAGAACACATAGAAATAGGATGGAAAACGTGGTTACTGCCAAATGAGATGTAAAGACAATAATGGCTACAGTAATTCTAGGAAGGGAGAAGTAAATGGTTAGGAGCAGGCATTTCCAAAAAATAGGAATATAAGCTGGTCCTAGAGGCTGAGTGAACTTCAGATAAGCAGAGAAAAATAAGCCAGAAGATCCCAATAAGCAAGAGAAAGCCAATACAGAAAAGCAGTGTAGAGAGCATCTGCATTCAAAAGTGGGCTCTTTTCTCAAGGATGTCTTGAGTAAAGCATTTTAATCAGACTTATGTCAACATTTTAAATTTACCTAGGAAAATTTTTGTTCAATTGGCAATGTTAAACCCTAAACAAGATAGTGTTTGCTTCCAACACTACATTGCCTTTTCTACTTACTTAAATATTTTTTATGAATGATTTCCTTTCTTTGAACAATTTTATTTATTTATTTATTTATTTATTTATTTTAAAGATGTGGGGTACAATTCAGGGTTAGGTATACAAATGTTCATTACGCAGGTACCCTTGTGGATGAGGTGTGCACCCCTCCCCTGGCAGCTTTCCACTACTGCAAATCCCTTTCTTTGAAAACTTTAAATGAATTTAGATAGCTATTAATCAGATTTTTCATATACACATTTACTAATTAAAGCTTCTGCCTTTGTAAGGCATTATTTCTTACCAGTCTAATATTCCCATCACATTTTACAAATAAAAAATGTATCTAGTTTTTTATTCTTCTGTTAACTTTTAGTGAATAGCATATTTTAACAAGTGCCATTTTTAGCTATTGTTGATTTTTTCCCTCTTGATTGCAAGATCTAATATATCCAGAATTAGCTTTCAATTGTAGAATTACAATTACACAATTAACCAACCAACTAGACTTTATCAAATATTTTAATCTATCACACATTTTACATATGAGATTTTTAGTCACTGTCCATTTCATTTTGTATTAAATATCTCTACCGGTATTATTCATTATTTAAAATACTGCTAATTTACCTTATTTCTTAGCTGAAACATGAGAATTCTATAGGCTGTTCCCCTCAGATATCCCATGAATTCTCTATTGTCTAAATTGTAATGCAAATGTATTATATTGCAAATGTAATTCTTTTATACATTTCTGATCCCTTTTTTATCTTACAAAATGAAGTCCCATGGAACCAGCAGAGTAATAAATCTGGTAGCAAGCAATGGAAACTGACTCTGGTTGATTTAGTAGAAAAAAGTATGTATTTAAAGGGCACGGGGATAACTTGCAGAATCCAGGATAGGGTTTGGAAGCAGACAGCAGAACCGGTTCAGTTCAGCTGCCAGAGGCCCCAAGCTCAGACTAGCTCAGCTGACTCTCCTGGCCCTGGACACTGGATGCCACCTCCAGTACCACTGTTTCCTCCGTGCCAGAGCCAGACTAACTGCAGTTGGCACCATCACCAAGGAAGACTCGCTGTGGTCCCTGATTTTTTGCATCCCCAGCTCTCAATTAGAAGCCAGGCAGGACATGTGGGTGGGTATGAGTGCCTTCTTGCTGCAAGAGATGCTGGAGGAGCGAATGGCACATAGCTCCCACCCAGACAATAAGGGTGAAGGAGTTCCCCAATACAGGAAGGGACTTTATACCATGGGCTAGCAAAAAGAGCGACAAATGCCCCATTAAAGGACCAGAAGATCAGACAGAAAATATCCTGCCTTGTTCAGCAGAATATCAGATATGGCAGAGTGACCACAAATCCTGAACCTTAATTTGGGGTTGCGCACCATAGAACCAACGCGTTCACTTCTCTGTATAACTTGCCATTCAACCAATCACCAGTGCAGGCTCTAGGTAGTAACACGTTAAAAGACAAACTAAACTACCCTGGTGGGAGTGGATACATGATCCTCTTCCACAGCAATTTTTAGCAAACGCCATAATCCAAACGTTCTCCATATCTAGCAAACTTCCTGTGTACAATTGAATAACGTGGAGAATGGTTGCCTCGGTGCTGCTGTTGGAGCAGTTAAGGCTTGAAGACTTAAATGGAGAACTGCAAAAAAAATGTATTGGTTATTCTCTGAAGAATTTTTAAAATAGTTCTCATTTAGATATTTATTGTTTTGTGTGGTTACTAAAAATCACATAGCCTGAATCCACATAGTATAATCACTTACATCTAATTTTAAGAATAATTTGATACAAAAATGTAATTGAAGTATTTTATATATGAAATAGATATGGTAAATAAAGCAATCTTTATGCTAGTTAATTTCCATAATAGCACATAAGTCGGGGTGATTTTTATATAACCTAAAGTTTGCAGAATGCTAAACTTTAGGAATTAGAGATCTTCATAGTTCCAATTTCAATGTGACTGAAGCTGTTGTTTTAAGCTTCCAAAATACAAAATACTTCACAGCATTAGCTTTCCAAGTGATTTTTTATGTCGCAGGTGCTGGTTTCTTCAGTATGTGTAGTTATTTGTCATGTCCTCTGCCCCCTTTGAGACTATCTGAGATTCAGTCGGTCCCCTGAGCCTTCTACTTAACTCTCTCCTTCAGGTCCCTGAACACACCTATTTCTGTCTCTAATCATCTGACCAAGATATTTTTCTTACAGCCTAGACTGAAGGGTGGGCAATGGCTTAAAGTACCACAAGGGAAAGAGAGAGAGAGCAGTGTTTCCCTTTTGGACTTACGAGTCTTCCTAAGCTTTCCACATGCTTAATGGTTCATCTCATAATTCTACTGATGGTCAGAGAGTTGGTATGAGGATTGTTCCACTGAATCTACATGGCTCTCAGAACCAACATTACAACTCAGGAACTTTGTGCTATTAATTTGGAGTCATAGGCCACAATGATACTTATCATTCTACTAGAGTTTTCTTCCAGTAACTACTTAATGAGAGTATTTATCTCAACTTCATATTTCTCAAGCAATGTTATTAATCAGACCCATCTCCATATCCGCTGTGAGAGAGACAGGCATAGTTCAGGTCTCCAGACTTGCCAGGAGGGCAGTAAGCCACTTGTTGTTCTTGGCAGAAATCTTTGTCTGCATGTGGTTCCTTCTCTTCTTTCCTCAGACCACAAGATTCAGATTCCTGGGAGCCTAGGGGACCCTTAGAATTTTCTTCACCTTGGCTGCATTCTGTAGCAAGTACCATATAGTTTAACCCTTCTTGGTTCTTGGTTTCCATTAAAGCAACTGGCATAATGTCATCTGAATTCAAACAAATCATATTGCCATCTTTACCTGCAAAAACAAATATGAAAGTTGTTCTTTAATGTTTTATTTGCAATACTACACAGGCTGTATGAGAATTATAGCAACACCAACTTTATACATTTGTTCAGCAAATATTTATAAGGACTGATAAGTGTTATAAGGAATACAGAGATAAATAAAACATGCTTCCTGCCCTTAAGGCTATTGCAGTCTAATGGGGAAGCAGATGTAATACAGACGGTGACAAGGTGAAATGCATTTATAAAGGAATATATAAAATGTAATGAGAGTACAGAGGTGATTAACTCTGCCTTAACAGTAGAACACACTGTAGTTTTTGTAATAAGAATTAAGTGGCCCTAGGATGGCCCTTTTTTGTCTAAAATACTTAAACGCTTACATCTTTCCATAGCAGCTAAAATGTCTGCTTTTATAGATCTATATTTGTAGATTTAGTAATATAGTCACTTATTAAGATAATATTTACTGAGTGTCTACTACATGCCAAGCTGTGTTCCAGGTATTGATGAAACAGCAGTGAATGAAACAATGTTGCTTCTGAACTTAGCACTGATATGCATCCAGGTTTTGTTTATTTGAAATGAACTTAAGTTGCAATACAGGAAAAATGAAACAATTTCAAGGACTAAGGTAAGCACCATTGTACCTATTTTCCTGATAGACTTTTAATGGATCTACCTATTTATCAGTTCCATCTTTAATACAAAGCTTATTTTGTTAGAAGAGCATATCAACGACATCTCTGCTCTCTCTGTATATAGACATCATGAGCTGTGCATTTCTTTTGCAGACTCTCCAAACTGCTGAAGAACAAGACAGCCAAGCTACAAGTTCACGTCCTCTTTGGCATCATGTTATTTTTCTCTTCATTGTTCAGCTATCATTATGTCATGTTTTAAATTACACGAGTAGTTAGTGTTGCAAAATATCTTCCTAATAAATAACTTCATCAGATGCCAAGTTTTGTTAGTACCTAAGTGTTGAATACCTGTGGAAAGATCCAGCAGTTATGATAATTGCAAATATGTACTAGTAACCAGTGAGAAACTCACAACTTACTACATAGAATAATAGCAATGAACAGTATTTTTAAATGCCAGGAAGAAATAAGATACTTAACTTCAAGTAATTCAGTGGCCCATATGACTGAGGAAGTTAGAATGTTCTTAAAGGGCTTAAAGAAATTAGGCTGAAGGACAATTCAGAATTTCACCAAAAACTTAATCTATAAAACAGTCTACCCATTCATATCAGCTACTTCATTGCCATAACTTCAACCCATTAAGTCTCATATTGGAAAACTTCATTCCAAGACATGATTTTAATTTTTTAATTTCTTTACTTGCTGAGTTGTTTGAAAAAGAATCATTTATATGAGGCAAATATATTCTTTTTGTAAATTCTGTTGTTATGTGTCAAAGAAAAATCATTAGCTAACTACTTTATTGGTTTAATACTTACAGCAATATTTAGTAACTTGACCCTGGTAAGCTTCCAGCAATTAGTACATCTTCTTGTTGTGTGAAGAGCTTATGAGAAACCGTGGTAATGGAAAGAGGTTGTTTTGTCTGTTTATTTTTGCTTTAAAAATATTTAATAAAAAGCTATTGGTCAGAGCTTAAAGCAGATAACCTAAGCAAAGACAGCATGCACTTAGCAACCTCTTTAAGAAGGAAATATTAAAATAAAGACTTCCAAGTAAGATGGGGTATTTACAGACCAGACATATGCCAGCTGACTGGCTATGTTTAGAACAGCAGAGGGGCATTTAGATTTGTTTCCTGTAGACCTCTCTGGGACTGATGAGGTGATGTTTACACAAATGTTTGGATGAAGTCACTGGGATATTTTTACTAGATGCCCAGATATGTTACTAATCTTTTCTCTCCATCTCCTTTCCCCCCATTAGGTCAGTAGGACCATAGGATAGGCATGATATTATTGCTCCCTATAATCCTAAGCACCCCCTTGCATTTTTTCCCTTAAAATAGTCTTTCCAATGTCTTTTCTTATCTTCTTATATACCTCCAACAACAACTATAAAGACAGACATCTTACTCTTGCCTAAATATGTCCACTGTCTGCAAAACAGCAAACCATTATTAAACACATTCTCCTTTATTTAAAAAAAGTAATTAACATTAGGCTTGTCTTGAAGGGGTTACTTCACTATTTATACCTAGCAAATATGCAAACTCTGCCTTTAGTTGTATTTTTTCCCTCTTTCCTCTCTTGCTAAGTCACAATCTCAATTTTCACATTTTTTGGTGATTTCCATATCTTTTCCAAGTCCTTATCTTCAGAATTTCACTGTAAATAAAAGAACGATGGTGGGCATGGTGTCTCATGCCTATAATCCCAGTAGTTTGGGAGGCCAAGGCAGGATTGCTTGAGTCCAGGAGTTTGAAACCAGCCTGGGCAAGATAGAGAGGCCTCATCTCTATCAAAAAAACAAAAAAATTAGTGGCCCATGCTTGTAGTTCCAGCTACTCAGGAGGTTGAGGCAGAGGGACCACCTGAGCTCGGAAGTTTGTAACTGCAGTAAGTTGTGATCATGCCACTGCACTCCAGCCGGGGGGACAGTGACTCATAAACAAATAAATAAATAACAGAATGAAACTAAAAACATTCCCCTGAAAACTGGAACATGACAAGACTGCCCACTCTTACCCCTCTTGTTCAACATTGTGTTGGAAGTCCTAGCTAGGGCAATTAGACAAGAGAAGGAAATCAGGGACATTCAAATAGGAAAAGAGGAAGTTGCATTATCCCTCTTTGCTGACGATATGATCCTATACCTAGAAAGTCCAAGATGATCTGTCAAAAACCTGCTTGTACTGATAAAGGACTTTGACAAAGTCTTGGGGTACAAAGTAAATGTGCAAAAGACAGTTGCATTCTTATACACCAACAACAAGCAGGCGGAGAACCAAATAAAAAGCACAACCCCAGCTGGGATCGGTGGCTTAGCCCGTAATCCCATGTCTTTGGGAGGCTGAGGTGAGTGGATGGCCTGAGCCCGCGGGTTTGAGACCTGCCTGGGCAGGCGAGACCTCATCTCTATAATAAATCAAAAAATTAGCCGGGCGTGGTAGCACGCATCTGTAATTCTGGCTACTCGGAAGGCTGAAGTAGAAGGATTGCCGGAGCCCAGCAGGTGGAGGCTGCAGTGACCAGGAGTGGCCACTGCACTCCAGTCTGGGCAACAAGAGTGAGACTCCAACTCAAAAAAAAAAAAAAAGCACAATCCCGTTCACAATAGCCACACACACACACACAAATACCTTGGCATCTTCTTAACCCGAGAAGCGAAAGACCTTTACAATGAGAACTACAAAACACTGCTCAAAGAAATTCAAGAAGACACAAACAAATGGAAAAATAACCATGCTCATGGATAGGAAGAATCCATCCTACCAAAGGCAATCTACAGATTCAACACAATACCCACTAAGTGACCAACATCATTCTTCTCAGACCTGGAAATGGCAATACAGAAACTCATATGAAAATAAATGACCACTAATAACCAAATCAATCCTTAGCAAAAGAAACAAAGCAGGAGGTATCACACTTCCAGACTTCAAACTTTACTATAAGGTTACAATAATCAAAATAGACTGATATTGGTACAAGAGCAGGCATACAGACCAATGGAACAGGATAGAGATTCTGGAAGAAAAGCCTCAATTTCTCAACCAAACTCATCTTTGACAAAGCTTCCAACAACAACCACTGGGGAGAGGAGAACCTATTCAGTAAATGGTGCTGGGAAAACTGGCTGATCACATGCAGAATATTGAAACAGGACCCGTACCTATCACCATACACAAAAATTAACTCTAAATGGATCAAAGACCTAAGTGTAAAACCTCAAACTATAAGAATATTAGAAGATGCAGGAGACACCCTTATGGAAATTGGAACTGGCAACCAATTCCTGATCAAAACCCTAAGTGCCCATACCATAAGAGATAAGATAGATAAGTGGGACCTCATCAAACTGACAAGCTTCTGCAAAGCAAAAGAAACCATCAAGAGAGTGGGGAGACAGCCCACAGAATGGGAATTTTTGCCAACTGTATATCTGACAAAGGCCTAACATCTAGGATCTACAAGGAACTCAGACATGCAGAAAGGAAAAAAACAAAAACAAAAAAACAGCCCTATTAAAAAGTGGACAAAATACATGAACAGACACCTCTCAAAACAAGATATATGAGCAGCCGATAGACACATGAAAAAGTGCTCAGCCTCACTCATCATCAGAGAAATGCAAATCAAAACCACAATGAGATACCACCTAACCCCAGTAAGAATGGACATCATTAATAAAACAAACAACAGATGCTCCAAGGATGCAGAGAAAAAGAAATGCTTCTACACTGTTGGTGGGAATGCAAACTAGTGCAATCTCTTTTGAAGACAGTGTGGTGATTTCTGAAAGAACTAGAAATTGACCTTCCATGTGACCCAGCAATCCCCCTATTGGGAATATAACCTGAGGAATTCAAGTCATTCTACCAAAAAGACACCTGCACGTGCATGTTTGTTGCAGCTCTATTCACAATAGTAAAAACATGGAACCAACCATGCTGCTCATCGAAGCTAGACTGTATTTAAAAATGTGGTATATAGATACAATGTAATATTATGCAGCCATAAAGAAGGACAAACATATGGACTTTGCAGCAACTTGAATGGATTTAGAGACTATCATACTCAGTGATCTATCACAGAAACAAAGAACAGAGTACCATATGTTCTCACTCATAAGCAGATCTTGAACAATTATTGCAATACTCTAAGAAAGGGATTGGCAGTAGTAGGAAACTGCCAGGGGAGGAGAGATGGGATTGGCAGTTGAGGGAAACTGCCAGGGGAGGGAGGGGCACACTTCATCAAAAGGGTTGACCACTCCCTCCTTTGTGATCCTGGTTCTTCTGGGTTTCCATAAGAACACTCCCTTATGGCTTTTCTCTTGCTTTTGTGGCTTCTCCTCATTA